GTTTTATATTTAATATGAAGTGCAATCGATACAATTAAGTTTTGAATATAATATCATTCCAATGGCCTCTACAACTTATATGTACCTAATTTTCGAGTACTTTTTCCACTAGCAAGTCGTATGTCATGAACAGCACGTTCAATATTGACTAATCTAAAGCTTAATAATTATCTAAAGCTTGAAGAGTGTTTAGTTTATTGCTAAAGACCAATGACTTCAAATAACCCCACAAGAAGTAATCAAATGATGTTGAGTCACAACTTCTTGGAGGCCATTCAATGTCGCAATTTCTGGAAATTATCGACTCTCCAAACTTTTCTCGCAATAAATCGGTTGCTGCACGTGCTGGGTGGCATGTAGCCCCGTGTTATTTGAACCAGATGTTGTCAAGACCAACTTCGTCCAATTGCGGCCATAAAAAGTTGGTTATTATTGATCTATACCGCTCTCCATTGATAGTAATGGTGTCACCAGCTTCATTTCGAAAGAACTACGGACCGATAATTCCATCAGAAACCAATTGAAAGAAACCAATTCAATCAAAAACCACACCACACTGTCAATTTACTTGAACGTAATGGTTGTTCATGAATAATTTGTGGATTTGTTTGCACTATGATTTTCCTAAATAAATCGTTATCGTTTTCATGTTGTTCCAATTCAAAATCAGCTAATTCACGACGTTCACGGTGGTCCAATGATTATTCAGTTCTTGAATGAGAACACTTTTATATGGATGCAATCCCAAATCAATTTGACGAATAGCGAGCACAGATGGACGATTATTACGACCATAATATGGCAAAAGCGCACGAAAAGTTAAAATTCGAGCTATAACCAGAAGCACGGTTGTTTAATTTCGAAACAACAACCACAACAATCAAAAAGTGGAATATCAAAATAAACAGTATATTACGCCGCTATTTTTTAGGTTAACTGCAGAGTGCGGTATTTGCCATGGCAACTTTTGGCTGTCGATGCTGGTGAATGGCTAATGATGTACGGATTGGCTGTTGGCGGGCGCACAAGTACAATAAATACAAAAACATGACTGTGTGTATGTGTTCGTATGTATGTATATAACCTGGTCGACTGTCTGTCCGTTTCAGCGCTTGCAAGATGAGTCATCGGCAAAAAGTAATTGAAAAGCAGCGAAATGCCACATTGTTAAACTTTTTTCGTGGAATTGTTGTTTGTTTTTCTTTTTCGCTGTGCTTTTTCACACACATTTTCACATGAACATATGTATGTGATGCGTGTGTGCCCGAGTTTACTTGTACAAATGTGTAATTATGAATGTAGAAATGTGCATACCTTACGCAGTTCCGCTGCTGTTGTTGCTTGCCGCTTTCATTTTAATTTTTACTGAATGACCGAGGTATCCTTGTGCACATAGTTAGTGCATACATACCATACATACAAATAGGGCATGTGCAATTGCATATACATATATATATATATATTTATATTTATGAAGATTTACAAAGGAAACTACCCTACAAGAAACTGATGATGGGTTCACCAATACACTCACATTTATTTTGTCAGTACTGAGGGTCAATGTCTATGCATTATTCGTGCAGTTTTTTTTCGAAAATTAAGACTTTATTGTGAAAAAATTGTTATACATTTAATGTTCAAAGTATAGCTACGATGTTTGCCCATCTTTCTGGCAGTTTGTGGATCCCATCCCAAAAGAACTTCTCCGGCTTTAAGGTCAAGAAAGAATCAATCCAATTTCTGATACCCTGTTCTGAAGAGAAGCGTACTCCGGTGAGGGCATTCTGCATTAATCTGAACAAGTGGTAATCGGAGGTGCTATGTCTGGGCTATAAGGCGGGTGAGGTAGAACTTCCCACCTACAGTTTTCCAAATAGTTTTTAACTGGCCTTGCACTTGCATGTGGCCGAGCGTTGTCATGATGAAAAATTATTGATTCGTGTCTGGCCGCATATTCTGGTCGTTTTTCCGCGATTGCCTTTTTCAAACGAATCAATTATTTTCGGTAGAGGTCCCCATTGATCGTTTGACCCAATTTCAATAGCTCATAATAGAGCACACCCTTGTGGTCCCACCAAATACATAGCATAACCTTGGCACCATGGATATTCGGCTTTGGGGGCGATCACATACGATCTCTTGCGCTTTGATATCATAATGAATCCATTTTTCATCGTCAGTGACAATCCGATACAAAAATTACTTCTTTTGGTGGCGTTGAAGCAACATTTCCGACATGCAGAATCGACGTTCGACGTCTCTTGGCTTTAATTCATAAGGTACCCAATTTCCAAGCTTCTGGATGAATCCTAATGATTTTAGTCGTCTGGAAACAGTTGCTTGATCAACTCCTAATAATTTTGCAAGTTCTTCTTGCGTCTGGCATGCATCTGCGTCGAGCAATGTCTCCAATTCTTCGTCCTGAAATTTTTTTGGCTGTCCGGGTCGTTCTCCGTCGTCTAAGTCGAAGTTACCACTTTTAAACCGTGCAAACTACTTTTGGCACGTTCGTTCGGCTAAAGCATGGTCACCACAAACGTCCAGTAAAATCCGATGGCTTTCGGTAGCACTTTTCTTCATGTTAAAGTAATGAAGAAGAACTCCCCGCAAAAACCCTTTATCTGATACAAATTTCGACATTTTTAAATGAATGAAACAAATTGTTGTTCACGCTAAAACAAAAGGCATCTACTGGAAACGAAGTGAAATAACAGTACATTTGAAATAAATATAGCCACAGATGAACACGACGCGAAATAATACTAGTAAAACCCTCTCTTAGAAAACCGCACGAATTAATGCATACACCCAATATTTACTTCTATTTTTTTGCACTCCTTTCCTCCAAAAGAATTTTTCACTTTTGATAGATTTACAGTCATAATTTAAGACATCAGAAAATTATAGAAACTTTGTTCTGCGCGCTGATAACATTTTTTCAGCTGTGACTGTCACATTACCGGTCAGATGACTGTCACTGTTGTTGCAAGAGGTAAATACTTCTATACATTGATATACACACACATAGTACAAACATTCGCACGTACAAAAAATTACAGTTATTTTCCTCTCCTTATCTGCAGCGCATTCATTGTTCTATGCACCGCTTTTCTTTGCACTTCGTTCCCACTCAGCTTCGCATGTATTGTGCATTGTTTTGCAAAAGTTTGCTTGTTTGTCACGAGATGGCTTCGTCTTGCTTCTAAATATTTTCAATCATTATTACTTTGTATGCTCTTGTATACGCTTACGCTTTTGTCTTTCATCTTTTATAAGCTAGTTGTTTCTCGTATTTTGCATGTTTTTGAATGAAATTTTTAATTGAGCAGCAAATTATGTACATACTCGTATATACACATACACATAAACATAATTTCAGTATAATAACTTTTCATTGAACTTTTTCTAGTTCTACTGACACTTTAGGTAAGTTGGCGATGTACATAACTTGTGAGCTTCGATGTGATACATTACACTGTGCGACGAAAATGTTGGACATCGGAGAGTGGGCTACATCTATTTACAATAAATAAAGCGAAAAATATGTATCAAACCTGTTTTTGCTTAAGGGTTTATACTAGGACATTATCAACGGCATCGAGTTATATCTGGATACTACAAGTCTGGGTACCAGGCCATAGCGGAATCGCAGGCAGTTGTAAAGATGATAAGTTGGCAAAAAAGGTCAGCTCAGCATCGCTGTCGTAACAATGGGCATGTCGGAGTTCCGCTATCATTTTGCGAATTACTACTGGATAGCCGGGACTTGTGGGAATACGGTGAGCACTTTGCAGCTATCAGTGCTTGCACGGTCAGAAGATCCATTTGGCCTAATGTAAATTGCAATAGATTTTCACCCTCAGCTTTAATTTAGGTATAAATATTGTCTTTGTTCCGGAAGGTCTACCTTCTGTACTAGCTTTGCTCTCTGATGACATTATATTGCGATTACAGTGAAAATAAAAGTTGGGATTGCACAGGAGTTTTACAGAAACTATATATTATATAAATATGCTAAATGTATGACACCAGTAACAAAAATCTTAAGAGTTTCAGTTTAAATGTCTTCTAATAACTTATATGGTAAAAACTTATACGAAAAAAAATTCGTACATTAAAATCTTAATAGGGGGTAAAATTAGTATTCTGGGAAATAATTTTAAGTTAATATGTTTGGTATGTGAAAACGAGAAGATGCCTGTAATAACGATCCAAAACACCCAAGTGTTGCTTTTCGTGGGTGAAATTATGAAAAAACAAAGTTGGAAGAAGATACCTGAGCTGTCACGCCCGAAGAGAAGACTGGACAATAAATGCAATAAATAATCAGCAATAATGGTTGCCAAGAAAATAGTAAAGGATTTTTACATAAGAATATTTGTTAGCTTTACAAAGCTCGTGTCGTGCACTGTTTCTAATTATAAGACCAAGCTAATTTGCATTTTCTTGCACGGTGATTCATTAATTCTTTTAAATATTTTTTATACTCTGAACAGGGTATATTAAATTTGCCACGAAGTTTGTAACACCCAGAAGGAAACGTCGGAGACCCTATAAAATATATATATAAATGATCAGCATGATGAGCTGAGTTGATTTAGCCATATCCGTCTGTCTGTCTGTCCGTCTGTCTGTATATATACAAACTAGTCCCTCAGTTTTTAAGCTATAGATCTGAAATTTTGCACCTGTCCTTTTCTCACAAAGAAGCTGCTCATTTGTCGGAACGACCGATATCGGACCACTATAGCATATAGCTGCCATACAAACTGAACAATCGGAATGAAGTGTTTGTATGGAAAACTCTTTCATTTGTCGAGGTATCTTCACGAAATTTGGCACGAATTATTATTCAAGGCAACAATTTAATCTCCGAAGAAATTATTCAGATCGGGTGACTATAGCATATAGCTGCCATACAAATTGAACGTTCGGAATCAAGTTCATGTAAGGGGCCTTTGTATTTGTGAAGGGTATTATAGCTTAGGTGCACCCGAAGTTAACATTTTTTCTTGTTTTTTTCTTTATTTAGTGCGAGTTAGTTGGCGATCATACTTATTTCTTTGTTTTTTACATTTAGAAGATACATATATGCATACATTCAAAAACTCACCAGACATTCAACGCAATTGACGCAAATAAATAAATGCTTACCTGAAAAGAAAATAAAAAATGATTCGATTAAAAATATAAAATTTTTATAAATAATGAATTACTCATCCTTTAGTCCAGTCAAATTAGACCAACAAATGATAGTTACATAAATGAGAAGTTACATAAATTCACAACAAGCTGAAAATTGGTAAAATCGTTTAAAATATAATTATAAATAAAATTTCAGAGTTCCGCATTTTTCCCCTGCATGGGAAAAATTCTAATCAAGGTCAAAGGTCAAAAATAAGATTTTTGCAAAACGGTAAGTTTAATCATAAAAATATCTCAGACCAAAATTGTAGATTATAAAATTATCTATTGCATAAAAAAATGTATTCCTACATTTTTTCCTACGAGCCACTATTTCAAAAATTTAGAAAAGTTGTAATCGTTATAATATGCATGAGTACGGCTCGTATATACCTACATCTCCAGAGTTGTAATACAGTAGAACCTCGATAAGTTAGAGTCCAAGGAAAACACAAAATATTTTAAGTTATAGAGGTTTTAAGTTATCAAGGGTCTATGTTAGGTATAAGTTTATATAGAAGTAGGTATGTACATATGTATGTAAAGGATTGGTGTCGTCAAAAGGATTGGTTCAATAAAGTGAATGTTGTTAGTTTTCTTTATGCACTAATTGTAAGCCAGTTTTATCACACAGTAGGTAAGGCGATGTTTCCAGGATACTGATCAAAAACTTATGATTATGATACAAGTAGGTTGTTGCCTTAAGGCTAACCACCACAAAACTTTAAAGAATTTCGAAGAAGCAAACAATAGGTGATATATATATTGTTTACATTACACTTAAAATATAAGATATACTTGTACATAAGCTATAATTATAAGAATAACAGGTAGAAAGAAACCCAGTCCCTTAAGTTATACGCCATTGTGACCCTCAGCGAACATCCGTCTCCTGTTCTTTAGTATGCGGGCTATGACAAATGAAATACCGTCAGTCTTGAAAACTACGCTCTAGTGAAAACACGTGTTTATTCTAACCTATACCGTGCTGTTTTGAGTTTTATAATAAAAATATCTGAATATTGTTTTATTTGTGCTAAACTATTAGGTGGAAGTGAAGTTACTACTGTTGAACGGGTATGAAGACATTAATTAATGCAAGTATCGAAAAAGACGATGAATTTTTGCAATATCTTAAAAATCGGAAATCTGTGACAATACATGAAAGTCGCCGTAAAAATTATGCTAGGAAGTCTTCTATTGCTGCCGCTATTAAAAGACAGCGTGAAGAACAAGAAGCCAGTACATCTACAGCAAGTCCACCTCGTACTAGATCATGTGTCCGTGAGCCAGGTTTTTGTTTTAAAAAGCTGAGCTTATTTTGTGGCTAGAAATTGAATGAAGAATGTGACAAAAAAATCCTTAGGTTTTCGCCGTCGAATCAGCCAAGTAAGCACATTTGAATTTAAAAATTCAATTCTGAAAGTAGCTAGGATTCACAACGATGCTGACACAAAATCTGTTCTTGCTCGAGTCGAATTTTAAAATTATTTAGTTGCAGTTGAAACCTAAGCAGCTGCAGCTATCATTCGCGAAGATATTCGAAGCACAGTGTTTGATAATTCTACCTACCATCCACCAGGTCGTCTGTTTGAAGATTTAAACAATGAAACCCCAGAAACGTTGACATATTTTGTGGAACGAGTGATTTTAAAAAATAAACGATTAAATTTAGATCATTTTAATCTAATATGCACAAATATTTGCCATAGTTTTATGTCTAGTGTGCGACCAAGGTCATTTGAATCAAAATTACAATTAGGCCTCGTAGTTTTTTTTCATCGAAGATTCAGATCTAAACGTCTTATATTGTACAAATATTTTCATCTTTTGGTTTTTGCGTCTTATAATGATACAGTAGTGTACGAGGCAGCAGCAGTTTTTCATCGTCCTCCTTATGTCCTACCACCAGAAAGTGGTACACTTATTCAATAAGTTACGTAAAATGCTGATATTAATGTTAATACGCTAGATGGCAATACCACATAATGGGTATTATTTAAATTGTTACTCCAAAATATTCTGTTTTGCAAGAAGAACCTATGCCACGAATGAAAGAAGCTCTTTCAGCAAAAGATTTCAAGGTAAAGGCTCATGTGCCGATACAGATCTATCAAAATAATGATATAATAGTAATACAGTAAGATAAATGTCAAAGAATTTTTTTATGTGACTGAAAATTTATGGGATCATTACGGACAGGTGGAATAGGCCTACTGGAAGAAACCACGTTAAAAAATCGTGCTAAGTACACTGCCTCATAGGTAGCGTGGAAACGTGAGCATATTATAACTATTACAACTTTTTTAAATTTTTGAATCGTTATATCTCCGAAACAGTGGCTAGCAGGAAAACAGTATTGATACATTTTTTATAGATAATTTTATAATCTACAATTTTGGCCTCAGATGTTTTTTGGTAAAGCTTACCGTTTTCAATTTTTTCCATACAGGGGAAGGATGGGGAACTTGTATTTATAATTATATTTTAAACGATCTCGCCAATTTTTAGCTTGTTGTGAATTTATGTAACTTAAAATATCTAAATTGACCGGATTACTTCATTTTTATACTCTTTCAACATGTTGCTACTGAGTATAATAGTTTTTTCACTTAACGGTTGTTTGTATTACCTAAAAACAATCGAGTTATATATATAATTAAATATGTATGTATTCACAAATATTGTATAAATGATCAGGATGATGAGAGGAGCTGAAATCAGAGTGACTGTTTGTCTGTTCGTCTTTGAAAGCGATAACTTGAGTAAAAATTTAGATATTTTAATGAAACTCGGTACACGTGTTCAAAATATTTAGAATCAGTTCGTAGATGGGCGTAATTGAACCACTGCCACGCCCACAAAACGTTATTAATCGAAAACTTATAAAACGCCATAACTAAGCACTAAACTAATGCTGGGAACAGTCACCGACGCAAAACCGTAGACCGAATCAGCTGATACGACCTATCTTATGAAAATGTAAATGTAAAGGAACACTCACCACCGCTTCTATAGACCGTACGTAAAAAACGAGTCAGTCTCGGTATTTTGTAGTAATTAAAAAACAATTTTGAATATATTTCAAATATTTTTAAACTAAGTCAAAATCACTCAAAAACATACTTTGGTAAACTATTTTTAAGAGTTGGATTTTAGTTTTGAGCTTTTACACTAAAAAAAATTATAACTAAAACACTAAATATGTGCAAAATCATATATACAAATTGAACAATGGCAACATTGCTCAAATGAAAACTGATTTCTACGTTGTCACTACGGGCATCACTTTTGATAAATTTTGTTTAATACGGGCGCTAAATACGGAAGGGTGGAACGTCGGTAACTGTTTCGAGCAGATATAAAACTATAATTTGGTACAATAATATGAATATAATGTGATTGAAACTATTTTCCTAATTTCAGTAATTCATAATTCTAATCCTCCTCTAAAATATTTCTGAAACCATTAACAAAGAACAAATGTCGTCAGCAGAATCATTATTTCTAGAGTTATTCACATTATGACGTGCCTGATTTCCTTGAATAAGTTTATTTCGACTTCGGAGAAAATTCGCCAAAGTGTTGAAAGCGTGAAAATGTTGGCGTATTGCACTAACCAAACAGAGAGAGCCACTTTTTATGTTTCTGCGAAAATTTTAGGTCTGCAAACCAATCTGATTGATGGATTAATGATTGATGAATCACCAACAATAAAAGCAAACATTTAAGTGGATGTCTATATATTAGGGTGAGATAAACTTTTTAAATATTGAGCCGAAACATTGTGCAGAAAATGAGGAGCAGAAAAATAGCAAATTGTTTTAAAGAAACTGGATTATAAACAATATTTTTAACTATTTAATTAGAACATCTGAATTTTTCACAGCTTAAAGCTTTTACACCCTGAGATAGATATTTTAGAAAATTTAAACTCAACAAGAATCCGCGATGTCAAAAATTCATCATAAATAGTACAAAAGTTATGGTCGTTTTAATGAAAACATATTTCTTAGGTGTTTATTTACATTGGAAACTTCACCGACACCTTAAATTAAGCTAAACAATTGTCTTTGTGAATATACTTTTTTCTCTGTATATAGGGCATTTTACCCCATGAAATCAATAGGTTAGTTTTTGGCTCGCCTTAATACATCTACACATACACATGTGTACGTACTCGGCGACAGTTTTTGCATACTCAAGTAGTCCAAAGTGTAGGGAATCGGGAAATAGATATTTTTTCACATACATTATAATATATAATATATTTATGTATGCTTGTGTAACAGTGAAAGAGAGGGTTGCCGTGCTTTCGTTGGTTACACTGTAACTGTGAAGCGCACTAATGCTGTTTTCTCGAAAGCGAGTGGCCAAAAAATACTGAACTCAGCTAATATTTTCAGAGTTTTATTAATATAATTTTTTATTGATGCACATTACACTTATTTCCTAACCAACCTCCATTTTATTGAATCATATTCGAGTTTTCATTGTTGCATGAAATCTCAGAAAGCTTTATACACTTTTACGCGGCCAATATTTTATAAGAAGAGTGGAATAACTTGAAACCTTAATATACAAATTTCAAACATTGGCAGCTAATTATTTAGTTTTGATGCCAAACTTTGGTCAGAATATTTTTACTTCGAGAAAAATAGAAAAATTATGTGACTAAATGTAGATTGAAATTTTTCTATGATCTGAGTATGATAACATAACCTAAACAGCTTATTGCATTAAAACTCTTAATATTTAAACAATTCTCAAATTGTTTTCATTTCATTACAATTTATTGCAATGTTGAATTAATTCTAACAATTGTACGAATTAAGCTTTTAACCCAGCGGACACAATATGTAATGTATTTTATAAATTTATTTATAATCTAAGAATTTATTGATCTTAGCAATTTTGTTAAGCTAAAATTTATGAAGAGGTGGCAAACCTGCTTGTAAATAATTTTAAATTGTAAGCTTCTTCAAAGTTCGATATTTTAATTGTTGTTGTTCATTTACCAGTAATACTCAAAGTATTTAACTAAATTGAAGACTTTAAGGGAAATCTTTAATATTTTTTTTTTAAATTAATATGTACATCTGAATGTATTTATATACAATATAATTTTGAAATGGCATCGCAATTAGAAAAGGCTTGATGCCTCAAAACCAAATTGTATATACAACCATACACACATAGAATTAGTTTAAATTAGTCTAATTAAAATCTGTTTACCTCCACCCATCTAACAGTGGTGCGTTACTACTCACTGAAGCCCACAGCCCAAAGGATAAAATTTGATCCGAAACAAACATGAATCATAGCTTTGTAGCAGAAAAAATGAAGTATTCGGCTTGGATACCAAAGTAATGTGTATTTAATTAGAATTGAGTATCAAGTTTTGCTATATACTATACTTGTGGAATATGTCACGCACACACACACATACATATGTACATAAGCAAAAGTTAGTAGAAAAAAGATATTTCATTAAACTGCCTAGCCTTTTAAGAAGCTGGTGAATCGCGGCCATAGTGTACGACTATATTTTCATTTGAGTCAACGCAGCTTTCAAGGGGAAACAATAACGCAAAGTTTAGTGAAAAATTAAATATTTAAATTTCTGCCTAAATTTTAAAATAGCAAAAAGTTTAAGTTTGAAGCATGCCCAATTTTCGCAATAAATTTAAAAAAAAATTTTTTTTTAAGTTTTAAATTTTTTACACGGCATGTAGGTGCTGCGTATAGAATTATTTACAAGCTAACGCAGAGGTAAAACAAAAAAAACATTGCGAATATTAAATGTAAACCTAAACAATGTCAAGGCGATGGGATGTTGCTGAATTAAGCAACATATGGTTGTGTTTGTGCATGTAAATATTTCGTGGCTGCAAGCTTTTTGTTTCGACTTTGATTTCTAATTTTATTTTTTTGCCTCCTTTCATTTCAGCTTTTGGAATTCAAAAACTTCCAACACTCTTAAACATAAATATGAAACTTGAAGTACAAAGCGCCAGCGTTTATGGTGCCAATGTTGCGCACTTTGTGGTGCCGTCGTTTGTGGGCGTTTATCAATTTATTTTCATAAGAATAGAATCAGTACATTTCCAGTTAAATTAAAATACATAGTCAGGATGCCAATTGTATTTTCAATGTCAAGTGCGAATACTTTTTTCTTTCTTTCACTTTATTTGATTTGTTTGTTTGTTTGAAAAGTAAAAATTTGCAGCATTGAAATTATGAAGCGATGGAAATTTTTTCGCAACGATGAATAATACATTATTGGAGAAATACAGGCGTATCAGCTTTAGGCAGTGAATGTATACTCTTTCCACCTATCCACACAAGCATTATTTTAACCTTCTGTCAAAGAATTCAGATTTGTTTGCAAAAAAATTGGGCAGAATTCAATTGATAAGAGAACATAATTAGAGTTATCACCATTAATATAATAAACAATAATATAAATTCTAAGTATGTGATTAAGTATTTTTTCTATAATTTTTAAATTCCCCAGCGAGCGGTAACTCTCAACCGATTCTGCTATAGCAGCCCTCGTGAGCAATTCAGTAATGGGATGAGAGAGCATTGGATTGAAGAAAATAATATTTATAATATGCTTTAATTAGAGTAAAAGTAACACCTTTAAGTGCTTTTGATGCAACCCATATGTTGTCAATTAATATTACTGCAGTTATTTGACAAAAACCAACACTGTAGTATTTTTATTTAACTAGCACAGACTGACCGAAAAGTTATAAAACAAACCTCCTTACTTTCTTTAAGTTCTCGAAATACTTGTAAACTATTAACCGTTCCATTAATATCAGTCACAACCTTCGTGAAATACAGCTTAAAAATGTTTAAAAGATGTGTTACACTGTAACTTAGAATAATACTGTTTTCTCGCAAGCGAGAAGCAAAATAATTGCTTGATTCAGTATTGTTTTAACATGTGTCAAAGATGGACAACAACCAAGAGAAAATACGCCACATTTTACCATTTTTCTTCGATAAAAGCGAAAACATAAGCCAAGTGGCTCAAAATGTGAATAGGTTTATCATCCTAATACTGTAGGCGTCAATCATGCACAATTTTAGTTTTGTTGATTCCGTTCCGACAATGTTGATGTCAAAAATGCACCACGCTCTGGAAGACCAATTGTCGCAAATACCAATAAAATAATGTAAACACCGCTTCATTTGCCCAGAAGTGGCCAACTTTGGCCAATAGGAGAAAATTTGCGTTCTATCAGGACAACGCCAGTCCACATAGTATAGGCATTCCCCAGATGCTTCGGGACCTTAGTTGGGACAATCTTATGCTATATATCTCTTATAGTTTGGACCAGGTATCAAATGATTACTACCTGTTCAGTGTATGGAGAATAATTTTGCTGGTGAGAAACTCGCCTTTTTTCTTTCCCAATAGGGACGAGGATTTCTATGAGAGGGACAATATAAATTTACCTTTAAAATGTCAGCAAGTTATAGAAGAAAACGGTGCATATTTCACCCAAATCAGATAATTCTACCTACGCTAAATAAAAATTTAATTCAATGCAAAAATAATGAATTTCTTTTTCCTAGGCCTAATATTATATTTCTTTAGTAGTGAATGTTAAATATTGAAAATAGATTTTATTAACAAAATATATAGATATATAAGTAAATTTTTAATTATTATAATAATGATGTGATGAAGTTCTGATAGCTGATCGTACGATATAGCCTATTCTTTCATCTTTTCGGTTCAACGTTTTCAACCAAATATATATTTTTAACACAGTGTGTTACTGTATTAAATTAATTTAATCAGTTTGTCCGAAATAACTTTTTAAACCATGTGACAACTCTCCTCAAAAATATATCCCAGAGAAATTATGCTTAAGCTTGTTTCGTTTAAAACAATATTTAATTCATTTTAACAGAATGGATTAAACAGTTGATAACCCTCTTAAATAGCTTTCTAAATATGTATGACCTGAATCTCTGAAGAAGTAAACAACTTCGGATCACTATAGGATATAGCTTGCTATACAAACTGAACGATCGAAATCAAGTGTTTGCATGGAAAACTTGCTCATTTGACGAGATATCTTTACGAAATTCAGCATGTTTTATTCTCTAAGGCAATATGTCTATAATATGGAATTACTGTTACGTAATTTTATAAAGTTTTGCAAAAGTACTCTCCTAAACCTTTTCGGGAACACAACTATTTCATTGGCTTAAGACGTGGAGTAGGAGTCATGAGATCGTGTAAGAGCCAAACTGGAAATTATGTATGTGGTATTAGCGCTAGAAAGATAAAGGGTTTCAACATTCCTTTAAGACTGAGTTAACGCATTTTGGATGCTCGACTTAAAAATTGGAAGGTATGGAACTTTAATACATACATACATATGTATATATTGAAAGCAATAATAAGATGTTTTAAATTAAATATAATGATAATGTTTTTTTATCAATAATACAGAAGAAATTCGACAATGTATCCGTAGAACTAAATTAGTAATAAAGTTAGAGCTTTTCGTGATGAGACTATTGTGTTGTACTTTAAAAAATAAATAACAGATTTGAAAATTGATCAACAGCACAAACTCTGTCTCGTAATGCTCACTTGACAGCCAGAAATCAATTCAGTGTGACATTGAACCTTACTTATTTAATAACAACAAATACAAAAACATTAGCGTGGAACGAAAAAGAACGAAAGTGATATTGTTGGCATTGTGGATGCACCATAAGAAAGGATATGTTGGATACACACCCAAAAAGACACCGGTTGCCAGATATTGCGTTCGTTAATCCGCTCATTCATTTATACAACAGCCAACTAAATTTATTGGTCATTTCTGGCTGGCACAGTAATGAAAAAAAGTATTTGGTAAATTCCACACGCACATCCGAACAACAACAATGATTAGGCTAACGAAGGATAAAAAGGCAATGCTTTGTTCGCAGCAGGCTTGTAGCATTCGTAAATGAATAGTCGTTTTATTTTTATTCCATACACAAATGCACATACATACATGCATATACAAATATATACCGAAAATCACCGAGAATTCAGGGATATGACTGGCAACACAGAAAGAGAGAGTGAGCAGGCGAGAGTGGGCAGATTCTAAAACTAAACTTGATAGCACAAACAGGATGCATATTATATATATTTATATGCTTGTTTATATATGTATGAATGAATATGTATATGACATCTATGGTATATAAAATAAAATGCACTGCGGATGTTCGGAAACCTTCTATGTTATGCTTTAAGCCAAAAGAGAGCGCCACCCCTTGCGAATTGTAAAATCTAGTAAAGCTGTTTCGCAATGAGCAAACCATTATTGGCTATCAAAATGAAGTTCATTGGAATTCGTTTATGTAATTCGAAAGTTCTATAAGTGTACTAAACTCTGGGTGTTATGTATGCTTTTTTAATAATATTAAGAATGAATTGAAATTTGGTGAATATTTTAAAATTTTTAATAAAGCTTTTGTCGTGCTTTTGCATCGACCACGAGCTTTTCAATTGCAATATTGATATCATTCAAGAATACGTTTGTACATATACATACATTTACACATATGTATGGTATATGCATGTACACGTATATACGTATGTGTGCAAAAATTTCTCTGCGCGTGTGTTTTTGTTTATCTTTTGTGGAAAGTGTCGTATAGAATTCAAATCGATTGAGGTCAAGTTTAACAGTCACCGGCTGATGCCAAAGAAGCGCTGCATGTTGTAAATTTTTTTTGCAATATTTAAATGCAACTACTGTGTGTCACCAATGACAAGTGAGGTTGGGTTTTTGACAGGTAAATTTATCGACTGAAATGATTATGTTGAACGTATATAAGCCAGCCCAGCTCTGAAGTGATATGTTTTGTAGTAAACCGAACGCTTCAAACACATAATTTCACACCTTTTGAACAATTGGTTTGTAAGAGATACCATTTTGAGTTAGTTAAAACTATTTTTCAGTAAAAAAATGCTAATGATACGAAAGTAGTTTGAGTTTTATATAGGCTCCACACGTTTGGAATATCATAAAAAACATAAAGGTATTGAAAAATCGATGCTAAATGACTTCCGCGCGAGTTCACAATCGGCAGATTCACCCGTCCCAGAAAACAATGAAAACGATAGCATATTTTTATGAATTGGGGGTCGGGTTTCTTTAACATCCGTCATATTATCCGGATTTGGCTACCAACGACTGTTACCTGTTTTTAGATCTCAACGGAATATCTCCTAGGGTTCGAAAATTGAAGATTGTATGCACTTAGTCTTGCAATAAGTTCTGTTTCAAGTTCCTCAAGTACCCCAATTCTAACCACAAACTGTAGTTCTATGGAGTCAAATCTGAACTCCAGGCGGTCAATCATTTTCAGCTATGAAACTAGGAATGGTTTCCACTGTTGGTTTTTGCATTGTGTGCTGGAGCAAAATCTTGTTGGAAGATCTAATGCTCTAGATCGAAAACAGTATTGCTCTTTGAAAAATAATTAGACTATACCTGTATCTCATATGTCATGCACAGAAGTAATAATTCAGCAGAAAATATATATCCTATAGATTATAGTATAACTATAGCATACACAAGAAAACTGGAAAAACTTACTTATCTTGATCATTAGTGTTGGCGGTGAAGTAACTATGTTCCGAAGAAGAAAGGTAGGAGAAGTACGAGGTGTGTTCAAAGGAAAAGGATAATTTTGATTTTTCGCGGGCTATGTACATTCGATTATCGATATTTTGTTTTTGTTATAATCGGACACATATGTTTATCATGTGCTTGCATTTGGAGCTAATTTCGATTAGTAGTTTGTTTTTGACAACAGAAAAGGTTAGTCACGTTTGTGTGTGCTCTTCGATTTTTAACTTTTGAAAAAATTGGATCAAAGAATATTTATTAAATTTTGCGTTAAATATGGAATAAAGTGCTTCAAGGCACTTGAAATGTTGACTGTGGCATTCGGTGCGTTAGCTTTGTCTCAAAAAAATTGTTCTTGAAAATCATGGAATCACTATTAGGAAAGTTGCAGAGGATGTTGGCATATACATCGGCTCATGCCATTCCATTTTCTCGAATGTTTTGGGCATGAAATGTGTGGCAGCGAAGTTTGTTCTGAAATTGCCATCATTGATGAGATCAAGTCAGAATCGAAGAAAGAACTGATGGCCATACCAAAGAGCGCACTTCAGAAGTGCTTCGAAGATTGGAAAAAGCGTTGGCACAAGTGTATTTTATCCGAGGGATCTGACAAGGCCGTTAACACGTCAAAAATAAAATGTTCATATTTTAAACAAAACCGGTCGTCTGACTAATTGAGTTTGCGGTTCTTACTAGTTGTAAATTAGCTTATAACTTGCTGGTTTTACTGTAGGGTTGCCAATAAATAAAATATTGAAAAACATTTTAACGGCATATAATATTATAATAATAATAATAATATTTAAAGAAAATAATACAAAAATATTGAAAGCCAACAAAAGAAAACATTGTATAAATTAATTGGTCACGTTAGATCGCGAAATAAATATACGCAAATCTCGTTAATCGTTATGTTAGTCACGTGCTATCAAGTGCAATTCAGCGACAAATGTTACGAATTTCTTATAAATATTTACATATCGCATACAAACATATTATATCATATATAATAGTGCATTTATTTTGTGGGGATGTGTACTAGATATCCATAGATTTATTACATATGTATATATAAGTACATATGTATGTACATACAATATATGAACTTAGTATGTGGTGTAAATTGTTTGCATTTTCGCATGCGCAAATTTTTATTTTGAAACAAAATATAGCAAAATAGAATTGAATTGCAAATAAACGAATGTCAATGTCAATGAGCTCAGGTTTTGGTCATGGCCATTGAAGTGGAGGCGTAGCATCAGTAGAAATTAAAGTAAGCAAAAATTCAGAAAACAAATTAGAAATGCATATGTATTTATGAACATAAATGCTTAAAATTTTAAATAAATAGTCGGAATAGCACTGGGGATTATGTCAATCTGATGCCTCCAAACCTTAAACAAATTTTAAATAATTTGCATTATGGGAAATACTCTTCGACAATTTTATACTTTCATATGACAGTAAGCAAGGTCAAAGATAATCTGCAATTTGTCCGCAAACACGCTTTTTCTTAAGATACACCTTGTTATTGTAGAGCACATTATTTTGGAAGTATCCCGATAGTACAAATTACATTGCGAATGGATCCGTACTTGAGACCTCGCAAGGTGACAAAGTAATATAGGCTCATCTGGATGAACTTTATGAAAAGGGTCACTAAAATTATATAAACTTAAAAATACCATTTAAAACAGCGACACGTCTTTCATCTTTATGAAAGTATACAAAATACTATAAAGGACGAATCATGCCTCGAAGCTGATCTGGTAAAATCAGTAAAATGTAGAAAATTCTGATGCTCCAATTTTTGATCGTTTGCATATATTTTCTAATCGACTGAATCAAAGAATCTTCATTTCTATGCCGTATGTTATAATGAGCTAAGCCTTTTGTGGCCGATGATTAAGCGACTGTTGCCTCCATAATATAACATTAAATGGAATCGGACTTTGGTCTTCTAAAAATTGTATCCTCAATGAAACGGTACTCTATGCTTAGTCGATATTTGATTAAATCTGATTATTATTTATTCCTATAATTAAGGAACAACTCCATATAAAATGTCGATTTTTCAGGTCTCGGAGACTGTGCAGGACTGGAGGGAAGGCAACACTTGACTTCATGCCTATCATGTCGATATTTTTATACTCTTACAACATGTTGCTGCAGAGTATAATAGTTTTGTTTGAGATTATTTTAAAGCAAAAAGTGCACAAATAAATTACAGTCGAAGGCAAATATTATGTACCTAAAGGGAAAACGCGAAATTGAAAGTGAACAAGTAAACAGCAAAAAGAAAAAACGAAAGAGATAAAATGTGTTATGTTAGAGAACAAACGACATAAAAACGTGAATGGAATGGATAACAATCAAATTTGGTATCTTATTAAGTTATATTGAAAATCCTTTTAAAATCATCCTCAAATGCGAAATATGTGATATAAACTTTAAAATAAACCAAAGAGGTAAAATTTAATATATTGAGTTATGTAGAAAACGTTACCCAGAGGATCGAAATTCTTTATATTAGGGATATGAGATTTGGATCAATTCCATTAATTTTCAGTGGTAACCCACATAATTTTCAAAGAATCTTGTACATTTAATTTCAAAAATTATCACACATTTTGAGCAACCTATGGTTGCTTGACGGTTTAAAGGTCAAGTGGAAAATCGGAAATTATTACATTGCTCAGGTATACTTAAGAACATATTTTCAACCAATTTTATAAATACATACATATATAACTTACATACTGAACGACATTTTCATCGTAAGGCTTGTTAGAAAAACGAAAATAGAAGTGGGGATAATTCGTTTGTATGGTATAAAGCCAGCCGGATGTTTAAAAATTGTTTTTAGGTATATTGGTTCCTCTTTGGGTTTCATCGAAGATAGTGAAATAATGTGATGATCTCTTTGCAATGGGTTCCAGGACATAGTTATATATATATAGTATATGTTAACTGTGAAGCAGATGAACTAGCCAGAGATGGCACCGCCCTGCAAATAGACTTCGATAAAGAGGGAATATATGTATGTGTATTCCTTTGGATACTTGTGGATATTTAATCGACAAATATGTTATAGAAATGCTTAGGTGGAGACAGTCCCTGACTTGCTCAACAAGAAGACAAACGTGGCATGAATGGAATATGGGCCGCACATTTCGACTATTAAAATTCAAAAGGTATAACATAAGAACTCTTGTAGGAGTGCTAACAGGTCTCATTGGCAGACCTGCCAGCAGATTGACGACTTTTGTAGAAGCTGCGAAGAGGTAGAAGAGAAGAGACATTTTCTTTGCGAATGCAAAGCATCGTATAGGAAAAGAATCGCAACTATCGGTCGAGGGTTCCTGGCGATGTCTCTAAAGTTGTAGATATCAAACTTTTTGTATTGATTATAGGACATATGAGGGGATTTTAAAGGCCTATGTGCGTCGTTACATATCAACCTTACCTACTTACCGCCCTCTTCGCGCCGTTTTTCTTCAAATCAGCGTCCGACCCATATTTCGACATAGTATAGCCTTGTGACCAGTTTGTGATAGTCAATGTGGATCACAATTTATGCATCTCAAAAAACGGTGCTCATCACCTTTCCGACCAATAAGACAGTCTTCGTCTTTTTCGCAGCTTGTTTGGCACTGCCTTGGCCGCTATCGTACATATGTGCAACTACATAGCACGCATGCAGCTGAATAGCAAGCAGAAGAATGAGACTGGCAACGAATGCAATGCGCTCTTGTTGTTGTTGTAAATTTATATAACAACATCGCATTTTATATTTTATTGCTGATTCCGAGAAAAACAACACTATGCATAGCAACAGCAACAACAAAAACAACGTCAAGTGAAAAAGTAAAGTTTGAACACTTAAAAAAAAATAATAAAAAAAAGCCACAACTAAAAGACAGGCGGAAGGCACAAACACGAATGTACCTACATATATCTGTACATGGCGAAACACCCAAGAGCGTCGGTGCGCTCGCCACAGGAAACGCGAAATGTGCCTGCTAATCAATGCAGTCGCCGCGCGCTCTTACCAGGCTGCATCGGTGTGGTGGGTATAATTTATTTCTTTTTTAGTGCTATTCGATTTTATGATTGAAGTTATACGCATATCAACAGGCGCAAGTGAGTAAATGTGAAATTCTCAAATTTGCGTTCGAAAACAGAGACAACAATTGTGCGCGAGCGCTTCGTTTGAGCGACCGCCGAGGCATAGGACAGATGGGACGCCACATAATCATAAACGCAACGCTATCAATGAAAGCATACATTTCCATATATATGTATAAATGTATGTATATATAGCACCGGTGTTGTGTCGCATAAGAATGCGTGACGCGACCACAATGCAGCGACCTCGACACCGGAAATCGTCAACAACATCGTCGATTGTTGCGAATTTCCTGTCTCACTTGTGGCACAACTTGTGCTAAACACTGTATGTGCGAAACAAGTTTAAACATGCCAATGCTCGGAATGTGAATTTTTAATACTTACAGGCATACTAACATAGGAGTATTTTATTTGGTAGAGACGCATGCAAAAGTACAAAATATGAATATGTGGAAGAAATTAAATATACATTTATTAAACAATTGGAGGGTATCTTCATTTGATAATTAACAAAAGCATAATTTAATTAAATTGCCTAGAATAATTGTGTAAATATTATTCTATTTCGACTTTTACATTACAACATTAAACAAATTTCTTTTCTTTGATCCTTTACACACCGAGTAAGAGCAGTCTTACTGCGTCTTACCCAAATGCAGTGACCAATATTCGTAAATCGGGCTACTATAGTCTATTGCAGAGTGTAACTTCAAAGCTACTATATCCTTTTTACACCTTATCTACTTGTTAAACTTATGGTTCACATTTTGAAGCCAATATTATAAACCTACAAACAGATTATATTTGATAAACATAGCTGTCTTGGATTCGCCATTTCTTTGCCCGCTTTTGCTCTTTTGTTAGAAAAATTACATGTAAAAGCAACTAAAAAAGTTATCGAGATGAATGCGTACAAAAGAGACATTCCTTATAGTAGTGGTACAGACGCTATCTCAAAGCAACCAAGTTGTATTTTGCATATTTTAGATCAGTTTTACTGTTGTGAATCGTTCAAATGACAAATAAATATACAAATATCTATATTTCTTGCATTTTTAAAACTTAAGACTTAAATCAACTATAGTAATTTATAGAAAACCGAAACCGAAACTACATTTTCCCTACAGGGTATCTGTATGTTGTTTCTAAATTTTTCAAATAAAAATTGTAAATTTTTCAACTCAAAACTTTAATAACCGTAGTAAATGTATATATGAATATTTGAAACACTGATTTTAATACAACATATCAACGCTGACAATTATAATTTAATGTAACAACATTCTAAGGTGTGTTATTCCAAATGAAACGCAATTTTTCGACTCGTTAACCTATTGAAATGTACAAAATCACGACTTGTTGTGCTACGAGGCTCCAAATATGGACGCATTCATTCAGTGTTGGCCCATTAACAGTCAAACAAGCTGACATTTTTCAACCATATCGGTTGAGCTCGTAGAAAAGTAACGCTTTACGAAAACACTCATATTACACGCTGGTACAAGTTAAAGAATTTCTGCGTTTTAGTTCTGCGTCAGTTTTAGATAAGCATTCACTAGTCTTGAACTAGAATCAAACTAATCTGAAAAACATTAGTTTCTAACTAAGATTTTCAACTGAAAATTAACTAGTCCAAAAGTACCCAGGCTTGTTCCGATTATAAAATCAATTTTTGTTAAGTAATTTTTGCTGACTCTAAGTATGTATTTTATTAAGAGGTGTGTGCTATCGAATTTCTCCTGGAGCGGTCTACACCTAGGCAACTGATTCTCACGGATTTGCGCGGGGGCAAGATATTTCTGAACTACAACTCTTACAATATCATAATATCATCATAAACACAGACGACGGGAGATCGTTGATCATACTTGATAGGGTTGCATATCAACTTTCATCTTAATTTATCGCCATTATAATTTATTTAGCAATATTAGGCAACTAGTTAACTGTCCTGGTATACAAATAAGGTAAAACAATTAGTCGTTAAATTATGTACTCAATTCAGAGTCCATTTGAGGTCGGTATTGCATATTTGAATTGCAGTAAATATTTGGAAGGCTACTGCTATAACTATCTATTCAAAAATAATTGTATTCACGTTTTTCCAAGATGCATTGAAATATCGCGTGTTTTCTTCAATCCATCGTTTGCGGCCAATAAAAGCTTGTACTTTCATTAATTCGTTAACTTCGGTTGCACCGAAGCTATAATACCCTTCACGAATACAAAAGATTCCTTACAAGCACTTGATTGCGAACGTTCAGTTTGCATGGCAGCAACTTATATTATATGATATAGTAATCTGAGCTAAATAATTTTTTCGAAGATTGCACCGTTGTTTCAGACAATAACCCATGCCAAATTTCGTTAAGATATCTCCTCAAATGAAAAAGTTGTGCATACAATCAATTTGATTTCGCTTGTCCAGTTTGTACGGCAGCTATATGCTAAAGCAGTCAGATCGATTTCTCTAAAACTGAGAGACTAATTCGAGTAAAAACAGACAGAAAGACATAATTAAATCGACTCAGCTCGTCACGCTGATCTTTAACCACATATACATATGTATGTATGTATATACTTTATAGGCTCTCCGACGTTTCTTTTTGGGTGTTACAAACATCGTGGTAAACTTAATCTGCTTTGTTCAGGATATAAATATAGGTATGAGCATATTATATTTTCTTATCAGAACACAAATTTAGTTAGCACGTGTTTTGAGTCATGCAAAATCGTCTTATTCAGCATTATTTTGCGCTTAAGTCCAACATAACTGTATACTCTGTTGAACATACTGGTCAGAAATACAAAATATACTTTTTCAACAATAAGAAACACTCATACATTAATATGTACATATACATTTGTAGGGCATGAGTTTGATAAAACCTCAGGTTTATTATCAAATACAAAATTATATAAATAGGCATGTACATATGTATGAACACAAAATATACAAGTAAGGAAGGACGAAGTTCGGGTGTAACCGAACATTTTGTTAAGTAATATAATTTTATGCCATCCCTATATAGACTTTCCACGAAGGAATTGTTTCAGATTTCTGCAAAGGTAGTAGTTGCCGGAAGCCAAATATGGTTAATACGGTGGATGCTGAAGCAATTCGTTCTTTAATTCGTTGAATTTTGTCATTGTTAAAACACTTTTGTGAGCAGGTGCATTGTCTTGATGAAAAAGTATTTTTTTTTTTTGCTGCAAACCAGCTCTTTTCTCACCAATTTTTTCATCCAGCTGATCCAAAAAACTGCAAAAATATTTAAAGTTGATTGTTTTACCTTTCGACACAAGAAATTGGTTTTATTCTGCTTAAGACGCTTCAAATTATGCTGAGAAATTTGTTTTAGATACAGTTTTTGTTGAATTGTTAACGTGTTCGGCACTAGCTTTACAAACAACTTTTCCATATGTAATTCTCCATATAAATTATTTAGTACTCGTTCATCTGAGATGCCTATGGCATTAGCAATTTCACGTTTAGTCACTAACAATATTATGAACTTGATCAATGATTTTTGGGGTAGTTGCGGTTTTTGATCGTCCTTCGCGTGGATCGTCTTCAATCCTAGTACGACCTCGTTTAAATTAACCAGCCAAAAATTTAATACTCGGACACGTCAACTTCAAATGGCTAATAAGCTAATAATTAATGACTTGTAACTTTGCATCTGTTCTCACGACAGATGTATCAACTTAAGAAGAAAAAAAAATGGAGCTAGTAAGGCTATTTCTTGGTGAAAGTAGAAACTTTTTAACCAACCTGTATATTGACCGATAGAAGTCAACCGGTTCCAAAATATTTATATTAGGTATATGGGCGCTAAGGGAGGTATTGGCCCGATTTTACCCATTTTTGGCACAGGGTCATGCTGTCATCACAAAACTATTCTCCCCAATTTTCAAAACTAGAACTCACTGACTGACTGATATGTTTGCTAAAACATCAGCCACATGCACTGGGGTCCAGATATTTGGTGTCGGAGTCCTTATGTAGTTACAGTCCGATTTTGACAAATTTTGGGCATAAGATTAAATAAGTTAAAGGCACTCCTCGTGCAAAGTTTTATACCGATATATTCATTGGTGTTTGATTTGTAAATTATGAAGTGAAAGAATCAGATGGAATTTAAAGTCGTGTTATATAGGAAGTAGGCGTGGTTGTTGTCCGATTTCGCCCATTTCATCAAGATATCTCAAATTTTATTCAATTATCGTTTGCACAGACATACGGACGGACAGACAGTCACCAGATTTCAACTCGACTCGTCAACCTGATCATTTATATACAGCGAGCGAAAAAATGTTTGTTTTGTTTTTTTGCTTACCCTGGAGGTAAAATCTGTAGATTATAAAAAAAGAAAATTTTTGGACAAAAAAAAATTTTTTTAACATCTAGAGGCGGGGGATTTCTTCGCCCTGAACAAAGTTAATCTTGCCGCTATGGTAGGAGTTCTCATTGGGCGCTGTCCAATGGCAACTCATGCGGTCCGGCTCAGAATACTACTCCACTGTCCGGCTTTTGCTAGGCTGAGACTGAAACATCTCGGCAATCACACTTTCGGCGGACCAGAAGATTTGGCGCAATCTGATATTGGCCGTCTCAACAAGTTTGTCATAGGCACAAAGCGCTTTGTCGACATGTAAGGGTCTATTGATTCAGTCATGGGAGTTTTGGGTATCACAACGGACCGGCGTTTAAGCTGTCTAAGTGTGATCCTTCTTACGATCGACCTCCTAACCTAACCTAACCTAACTTTACTCCGATCGTTTAGTTAATATGGTAGCTATATGATATAGTGATCCGATCTAAACAATATCTCGGAGATTACATTGTTGCTTTAGAAAATAACTCATGCACAATTTCGTGAAGATAATAAGTCAAATGAAAGAGTTTTCGATACAAGCCCTTAATTCCGATTGTTGAGGTTGTATGGCAGCTATAAATTTCAGATCGATAGCTTAAAAACTGAGGGACTAGTTTGTATATATACAGACAGACGGACATGGCTAAATCAACTCAGCTCATCATGCTGATCACTTATGTATATATTTGATAGGGTCTCCGACGTTTCCTTCTGGGTGATACAAACTTCGTGGCAAACTTAATATACCTTGCTTAGGGTATAAAGCAGAAATAAATTAGGTCAGCCTTTTCTCAATTCGTTTCTGAAAATTTTAAAAATTATTAGTTAAACAATTTTGAAACGAGTGTACTCAAGTTCAAAAATGCCGTTTTGAGTAAAACGCGCTTGTTAAATATAACAGAACAAGTAGGAATTACATTTAAATTTGTGCGAACATAATTCTCAATAGTTTTGCGGAGAGTTTAGAAAACCTAAAGGCTGACATTAAAAATAGATCTCTGTAATGAAGTGTTATTGAACAAAAACAAATTAATTTTAGGGATTTGTGAAAGGTTTTAAAAAGGAATATTATCAAAATGCTGTCATAGTATCGTAAAAACTAAGCAATGCAGGTGTGTAGTGGTAATGGTAAGAACCAGATATTATTCCATGCAAGATTTCTTGTTTATTTGTTGTTGGTTTTCAATTTTACAACTGAACTCATATTGAGTATTAATAACATAACAAAGTGGAATATAATATTATTCGGCTTAAGCTATCGCTCAGCTGCCAGATACTTTACTTACATACATACAAGTATATACCGGCAGTCCACAAAATGAAATCTCCCGAAAGCGGCTTACGAAACATAAATGCTTTATTATTAATGCTTTATAATTGATGCTTAGCACGACTTGGGTTGTAGCAACATGTTAAAAATTCTAGTATAGAAATGTTTTGCACACGGCACTACAATACATATGTTACCTACATATGTACTTATAAGTAAAAAAAAATTATTTGAATTTGAAGAATTTTAAGTGTCAAGCGTTTTTTACGGCGTAAAATTGAATTACAAGCAATTAATTTAAAAACATACAAACTTGTTTTCTTCAATGAATTTTTGATTTTAAAAGACTCCGCCATGATTTTTTGGCCGCTTAGAAAGCTGTCTTTTATTTAAAGAAAGACATTAAGACGCCATAAAAGTACTTCCTCAATATTGGGCCAAATTAAACATTTTTGCTTACAGTCCAAAAAAAAATACTTTCTGTTTTTGGCATGCCACAAAAAATATCGCTGCTTACATAAAAGAGTGAATGACAACAAAACGGGGAATGCTAGAAAGAAGTAAATTTGGCTGAAATAGATATCTACAAGGTGTAAAGAAAGCAAGTCAGAGAAATGTAGTCAATGAAATGTCGTTACCGGATGGAGTTTTGGCGGTAAACAACCGAGCGTTTAGTGGAGCAGCCCGAAATGGCAGCTAAGCGGCGACCAAGTTATCGCCAATAGTATCAACGACTTGACGTAAAAGGTGTTCGGGTTTGCCCCGATAAGGTAAGGCTAATGAAAATGTAGTAACAACAGCAATCAGCGAAATAATGCTGATGAAATCAGCACACAGGCAAACCCACATCCATGCATACATACATACGTGTATAGAAAAATAAATATAAATATGTATGTTAAGTGTTGCCTTGAAGAATCGCGTGAGGCAAAGGCCGCGAAGACGCATATAATTTCAAACGAACACGAGATGCAGGAAGATGAGAAAGAGGCGAGAGAAAAAAACAACAACAAAGAGTTAAATGAAGCAGCCGCGTCGGTAATGACTAAAACTAACAGTAACAAAAATGAAACGAGTGGAGACACAAAAAAAAATGCTAATAACAAAGTGAAAAGGGAAGAACCGGAATGAGAAACAGAAGCCAAGAAGTCGCATTGAAATTCCAATGGCCTTTGACGGAGCATGTTGGGTTCAATTTCTGTAAATGGGAGGACGTTGACAACAACAGCCAACAACATTCATGAACGCACCGTTTAAGACACCGAAGACGAGCGCCAAAGAACACATGCACACATATCTACAGATGCATATACACACATGCAGTGTGTGTGAAAGAAGTCAGCAAAGCAATAAAGCTTGAACAAAAGGAAAGCGTCGTTGCACGCGCAACTCAACGCCACAGAACCGAGCAAACGAACACCATTCAGCCGAACGACCCACCAAGCGACCGCGTTTCAAAACTTGAGCTGTTGATGCGTAAACGTCAACTTGATATCCGTTAACTATCCAGCGAGTTTATGTACGTGTGTTACAACTACAACAACAACGACGGCCGACAAATGCCGACAAAACAAAAGTGCAGTGAAAATGTATCAAAAGGCAAAGAGCGGAGAGAATATAAGTAAGGAAATGCAGTTCACGCACTGCAGCTTAATGCTCGTGCACAGTGTTGCCGTTGTGTAGGAAATAAAAATTTTAATACTTATTGGACAAAACTTCGGTACTCAGTGTCAGAGAAGTTATCCTAAAGGCTTTAAAAGTATCTAAAAATTTTGAAAAGATTGAAGTTATACATATGTATGTATAGCCGCTTCGTTTATACATACCCCATGTTTACCAATCTGACATCGTTTGCATGAGAGGGAGCCACTAAAATTTAACAAACTGTGATATTTTGAAATGAAAAAGCTTCATTGAAAAGTATTCGTGTTTACTTATAATATCAAAAAGTGGCTTGATGAGTTTTATCCAGGTTTTATGTCAGGCGAAGCAAGCATCCGTAAGCGGTCTGGAATATATTTTCTCAAACCTCAAGATCACGGAAAAGTAATCGGCGAGACGTAACGCTGTTTTAAAGCCAAATAATAATCGTACTTAATATTATCGAAAGGTTGGTAGATTGCAAAATTCAGTGCATCACAGTCACCGGCTGCTATGTTCAATAACAAAATTAAATTGTGACAAAAATCTGCTTTCTTTTAAAAGAACACGAACGTTTCAGACTGATATTTTATAGGATACCCGTTTTTTTAAGTTTTAGCGTAACAGTGAATAGTCTTGCGGGAGCAGTTTCCTACTATAGAGGGACAAAATTTTCACCCACTGACATTTATCGATAAAACTTACTCTTATTAAAATTAACTTTACATTCATTTTTGGTTTATATACCATGTATTTCCACTTTAATTTGTTGACATGATATATGTTACTATTCTATATATAAGTTTTTTACCACTATATGAATATATAAATATAACAAAGAGAGAGCATGTCATATGCTTGACATTTCTTGCTTCAGATTTCTAGAAAATTAATCAGCTGCATTTACCTCCTATCATTGTTTAATGAGTGACCTGATTTGATCATGCTGAGATGTTTTATAAACATTTTTTAATAGTTTCTATGTTGGATGCCTTTGCGAAGCTCCTCACAGAAATTGTGTTTGTTTCGGTGTTATAAAGAGGCCGTTTAATTTCTTTTTACCGAATATTTACTAGTACAAGTACATAAAAAGAAAAGTATTTATGCAAAAATGCTTAATTGGTAACACTGTTCTGCGCTGTGCAGCTTTGTCACGAACGTTAGTTATGCGTTCCAGGGTGGGGCGCCATTGCACCCGAAGCACAAGGAAGTTCTACTGTGTCGGTTGTTGACTTTTCTGCAATGTGTGACGAAACCAACGGCAGGCAGCCACTTTATCAGCTCTAAGGAATGCCAGAATGGGGTGCGGTATGTGGGTTCTGTAAAATGTTGCTAATTCACTGATGGTCGCTGAGCAATTTTTTAGAACTACATATATAAAACCCGGTTTTTTTTCAATTATGTAGCTGAGAATTATATAGATAAGGTT